GTGACGGGGTTCAATCCCCGAAAAGTTGTAAAAGAAAACTCTGGACTGGACGGAGGCCTGGTGTCCACACCTGGTCCCAGGCTCGTCATCGTGGACTGGACACCATGTCACACGTCCACTCCAGTTTAGATCTTCCTCGTCCCGACCCCTCGTCCTGAAGGGGTGACGGGAGCTTTTTGGTTTCATGGTTTCTGTTGTTTTTCTAATGGACTCACGTCCGAACTGTAACCTGCAGATTTTTCTATTAGATTCTATTGACAGTTAGAGTTGTGTATGAACCCGAGCCACAAGATGTCGATGGCCGAGGAAGAGGAAGGATGATGATGATGATGATGATGATTAACACGAGGGCTAATAAACAGGCTCATTCTTTCTGACTCTGTGTTTTTATCTCTGGATTCAGAATCTGTGAAGAAATTTCACCAAACTACATTTGTATTGGACAAAATTTACCAAAACATAATAAAACATGTTGCCATGGATACGTAGATAAAGTGTAAAACAACCAGAAGCAAACTTGAACCACGTGTACGAACATTTTATTATAACAATGCTTTGCAATAAAATCATTAAATAAGAGATCGACTAAACTAGTAAAAGATATAAAATGATCAAATCAATTAGAAATAAGTCTCGAGTAGTGGGGGGGGTGAAGGTGAAGCTGGGGGGGGGGTGAAGCTGCTGAACCATTGAAACAAGTCAAATCATTTTAGAGTCTGAAACCAGAGCTGTGTGTGTGTGTGTGTGTGTGTGTGTGTGTGTGTGTTTACAGTAATGTCTTAATGACAGATGACATCACGCTCAGTCAGACCATCTGTCTCTGCTCAGGGAACATGAATAAATGATAAATCCCAGTTTTCATGTCAGTACATGAGTTGTGTGATAACAACAGTCACTCAGACACACACACACACACACTCACACACACACACACACACCCCCCCCTGACCTCCAGGGATGAATGAAGTTACACTCCATGTGAAGCTAACGTTAGCTGTTGTTAACCGAGCTATGACTGGAGATGAGGAAGTGATTGACAGGTCGTCTCGAACGTGTTGGACTGAAGCAGTTGATTTATTTTAACAGGACGTTGGATTTTCACAGTAAAACAATACGAAGCTGATTAATTCGAAGACAAACAAACAAAAACCATTTAACGTTGGAGCTGTGACTTCCTCTGATAACATTTTATAATAACATTTTATAAGAACATATTAAATCCAGTAGATAATAACTAGAATGTGTTGGATGATTAACTCTTCAGTCCTTTAGTTAATGACACTAATTATTCCATTAATAATTCATCATCCGTTCATTGACAGTTTGATTCTGGAATATTAGGTAGGCTCAGAAAGACAAGGGACTTTTATTGTGAAAGAGATGGATGATGGAGAGGGAAAGATGATGATGATGGAGAAATCAGACAGGAAAGTGTGTGTGTGTGTGTGTGTGTGTGTGTGTGTGTGTGTGTGTGTGTGTGTGTGTGTAGAGGATTGCATCTGTTTTTGAGTTTGCGTGTGTGTGTGCATGTATG